AGCTTTGCGCCTTTCCTGGAACTCACTTGGTAGCCCAGGCTGGCCTTGAACTCACAGAGATCCGCCTGGCTCTGCCTCCCGAGTGCTGCAATTAAAGGCGTGCGCCACCACTGCCCAGCATCTCTCTCTCTTTTTCAAGACATGTTTTCTTCGTGTAGTTTTGGTGCCTGTCCTGGATCTCTCTGTAGACCAGGCTGGCCTCGAACTCACAGAGATCCGCCTGGTTCTGCCTCCCAAGTGCTAGGATTAAAGGCATTGGTCTCCTTTAAGGTTGTGATCACATTCCTTCCCTCATGGCTCTGGACCTTTCGTCAAACCCCAGGGACATCACTAGTGACTGACTTTCAGGTGGAAGTCAAAGAAATAAATGTGGTTGTACCTACTGCTCCATTGCTCATGAAGGAGAAAGGAGTCCTGGCAATCGGTTTGAACTCAGTGTCTTTTCTCACAGAGACATTGTGTCAATGAGGTCACGTTCCAAAGTACTTTGATTTTTACCTTTTGCTTCATTGTTTGTTTGGTTTTTTTTGTCCCCGTCCCCACCCCCTTATATCCTAAGCTACACTGTTTTTAATGGGCTAAAGAAGATGTAAGAGCTATTTGCCATCTTGTCATTATGAGACAATGTTTTTGTTATATTATACCTGCCCTACAGACTTCCAACTTGGCTTATTTGGAGCTTAACTCATTTAAAGCTGTTGGACTTCTAAAAGTACTGCTTAAAATTCACAGTATTGGGCCAGAAGGATGGCCCGGCAGATAAAGGCCTCTGCCACCAAATCTTACAGCCTGATGTTGACCCTGGGACACATGGTAGGAGGAAAGAACTCGTGCCTATAAGTTGTCCTCTGAGCTCCACACGAGCGAGCGAGCCATGGCACATGCTCCTCCCCCAACACACATAATAAATAAATGTAGTAAAATATTCTAGATCACAGGTTTTTTTGGTTTTTATTGTTTTTTTTTTTTTGGTATTTTTGGGGTTTTTTTTGAAGGGGGGTTGTTTTGGGGTTTTTTTGGGTTTGTTTTTGTTTTTGTTTTGAGACAGGGTTTCTCTGTGTAGTTTTGGTGGTGTCCTGGATCTCGCTCTGCAGACCAGGCTGGCCTCGAACTCACAGAGATCCGCCTGCCTCTGCGCCCCAAGTGCTGGGCTTAAAGGTGTGCGCCACCACCGCCCAGCTTCTAGATCGAAGTTTTAAATGCTAAAAATAATTTATTTTGTGATCAGATGAAACTTTCAGAGTCACCCTGTGTTTCAATATAAATAGACCATTTCTAACGTCTTTGCAATTATAAAATCTAACACTTTGTTTTTGTTCATATTTCTTTCAAAAAAGCCTTGGCCACAGTAGAAGACTTCCAGATTCGCCCTCATACTCTCTATGTACATTCTTATAAAGCACCTACTTTTTGTGATTATTGTGGTGAAATGCTCTGGGGATTGGTACGTCAAGGATTAAAATGTGAAGGTAAGTGCTTTTAGATTTGCGTATTAATTTGAAAGAGGATTTTACATTCACATTTTTGAGTTACTGGTGGAAAGACTGAGATCATGGGTGGTAAGGATTTAGAACTGCAGAGCTGAGAACTCTGGTCTTTGCTCTGCCTCCACCTACTGGTTCCTTCGCACAGCTGACTTGCTAGACCTGTGAAAGTCGTCTACTCCGCCAGAGTCATAAATGGGTAAAGAAAGGAATGTGCATGAAGTATGTGACACAAAACAGTGTCTTACTAACTGTTGGCCGCTTATGATTACAGGTCTTTATTCTAGTTTTAGTTTTTTCTGCACAGTGGTAAGATTGTCAAACTGTTGTGAGATGGAATTGCTGGGGAGTAGACCACAGGTGCTTAAGTCTGACTGAGAAACAGTCTTCTACTGTGGAGCGTCAGTTAACTCTTTTGTAAAGTAATGGCGGGCAAATACTTTATTTAGATCTTGCAGACTGTGTGTTCTCTATTGTGACTTACCTCTGCTGTTGTAATATAAAACTAACCTTGGGAACCGGAGAGATGGCTCATCACCTGAGAACACTTGCTGCTCTTTCAGAGGACCTGGGTTCAATTCCCAGCACCCACATAGTGTGCCTCACAGTCCTATGTAACTCCAGTTCCAGAGGATCTGGTGCCCAAGGGCACCAGGCACATATGTGGTGCATACATACACGTGAAGACAAAACATTCATACACAAAAAAAATGTTTTAAATTGTTAAAAACTCAGCAGTTCACCATAGATAATATGTAAATAAACAGAGACTGTGTTCCTACAAAACATTTACAGACTAGGGGAGATGTCTTGGTTGGTAAGGAATTTGCCACACAGGCATGAGGACTTGAGTTCAGTCTGCAGGACTGAAGGACAAAAAAGCTGAGTGTGGTGACGACGTATGTTTGGGAAGTTTGGAGACAAGAGAATCCCTAGGGTTTTCTTACAGTTCCAGGTCCCAGTGAGAGACCTGCCCCCAAAACAGGGTGGATAAGGAATGATAGCTGAGATCCGTCTCTGGTCTCCACACTCAGACACACATACCTGTGCACACATTTCGTGTTATATAACTATATATATTATAATATACTGTTACTCTATATTATTATGTACTATTATTTTATATTCATGAACACTGAGGTTTGAGTTCCATATACTGTCTCATCGTTGAAGGTTTGTTGCACACAGGCCGTGGTTTGCCGCTGGATAGTGCCTGAAGCCAGAAGCTCTTGAACTTTTGCCAAGTATCATGAAACATACTTTTGCTAGGCTCCACCCCCGGAGTTTCTGATTCTGTAGATTTGGGGATGAGTCTAGTAATTTATATTTCACATACATTTCCAGGTGTCTTAGCTATCATAAGTCAAAATTCACTGCTCTAATTGATTTAACTTTTTCTGAATTAACCTTTCTACACATTCACCATTCTTGAATTTGTCACCTTCCACATAGTCTGTCACCTAAGTTCTTAATTAAGGTTGGTATTGTCGCCAGAGAAAATAAATTAAAAAGAAGTACTGGTTTTTATGTGTCACATTTCAAATAGTTACATTTTAAATTTTTCTTTTTTACTCTTAATATCTATTTAGGCTGTGGATTAAATTATCATAAACGATGTGCCTTCAAGATTCCAAATAACTGCAGTGGAGTAAGGAAGAGACGTCTGTCCAATGTATCTCTGCCGGGACCCGGCCTCTCAGTTCCAAGACCCTTGCAGCCTGAATGTGTGCCCCTCCTCAGTGAAGAGGTATGTATTCTCAGGTCAGGGAAGGACTCTCACTAGTTAGTCCTGGTGATTTCACGACACATAGGACCTCCTAAGACAGGTGATGGAGACTATCGTGATGTTGCTACACTTCAGGCACTTGAAATGGAATAGTGATGACAGGGCCTGCCAGTAGCAGTCGACTGTATTCTGTGCCCCCCGTGGGATGGCATTGTCAGTTAGACCACTGTGTGAGCCTCCTTTTCATTATCCTGGCACCCCGTCTCCACACTTCCCTTCATCTTACATGTAACCAACCCTCAGGTCGGGTTTCCTAATAGACAACTCTGATTATGTTTCTCTCCACTAGGTAACAGGGTGTGTGTGTGTGTGTGTGTGTGTGTGTGTGTGTGTGTGTGTGTGTGTGTGTGTGTGTGTTTAAATGACCAGATTTATAAGACTGGGAAGCAGGAGAAACTAACAGCTACTTAGAAACTGGAAGCCTCAGATTAGGAGGGACTGCTGAGTCGAAGGCCACTGGAGAGTTGCTGGTCCGAGTCTGCCTTCAGAGGTTGATGCCTGTGAGTCTACCAAACGCAGTGATGGCAGGAGGAGTCAACTCTCCGCTGACTAGCATAGTCTATGAGGTGTGCATTGCTTCTGCTTTTTCCTGCATCTGGACCCTCAGCCTCTTCAGGGACACCACCCACACTGATAGCATGTCTCTCCCCCTCGGGTATTTCCAGTCAGTTTGCTGACCCACATGGCAGCGGTCTGAAGAAAGCACTTACCTAGACCTGTGATGTAGCTTGTCTTCTGAATGCCATCACACTTTTGAAACCTTCCTGTCTGTGAGTCTAACATTCTGCCTAGTGTTTGTGTACTAGATTGTAGAAAATGAAGAATAAGTTCCCGAAACTAAATAAACAGATAATAAAAGCCAAGATGTAAAGCTTCACTGAACAAGGAATTAAGCTTGGAAACAGGCATATTGGGAACAAAGCCTTTAAGTATAACCCTGAGATTGAGATTGCCTTTGTCTGCACGTACAAGGCTATTTCCAACATGATCATAGAAGACTGTGTAAAGAGGTTCAGGAGGTCAGAGTTCTGTCTTTATGTGCCTCCCTTTACTTAGCACATTACTTGGTACCTAATAGATACAAGTGAATGAAGGAACTTGTTGCTTTTCAAAATGTGAGATATACCGCTAGATCTATTACCTGCATGACTCTGGAGACACAGAATAGTTCGATGACTTTCCAAAGTCATAGGACACATGAATAGGAAAACTCAAATTAAGTTCAGATCTCATTAGTTACTTTCCCCCTTTCGAGGATAAATACAGTAGTTGAATGAAGATTTGTGTGCTTGGTAGTCCTTGAAGCAGCTTACATCTGTCGATCATAATCTTGTCATTGGTTGTTTCTATGCCTTGTCGTTCATATATCGGTACTATCAGGACTTCTGTAGACTGGTCCGGTGCCAGGCTTCAGGCTATTGTTGGTTTAACAAAATCTTTACAAACAGAGATACCAACATAGAAATGTATGTAGCCCTCTTGTAAAAACCTCTCAGGTTTCTATACGGCTTAGCCACAAGAGGAGGCTTTTGAGGTAGAGAAAGGTAATCCCAGCACTGGAGCAAGGATCATGGGTTCTAGACCAGTCAGACCCGCCACCACCACAGCAGCAAACACCTGTAATAAAGTGAAGTAGGAGAGGAATGCTGTGGCGTAGAGACCGAGAATGAGAAGCTGTGTATAGCCATATGTGAGGCCCTGGGAGGAAATTGATATTAGGAAGTTAGTATGCCTTACACACTGAACCACCCAGGGAAGCTGTCTGGTACAGAGATGTATATTGCTTTAAAAGCCTCACAAATGATGCTCTGACGGCAGCTACCCACAGTGGATTGTTAGGAGCCTAGGGGAGAGCAGCAGGGCAGAGGAAAGGGAGAAGTACAGCCGCCATCCTGGAGTATTCACGGGGCGTTGGTTCCAGGACATTGGTTCCGTGGACAGTGAAAGCCATTTGTGTTCAGCTCCTTTACAGACATCGACACAGTATTTGCATATGACCTATATACATCCTCTTGTACATTTTAAATCAGCACTAGATGATGGTGATGGTGATACCCAATATACTGAAAAATACAATTATTTTCCCAAGTATGAGGGTCATCTGGCTATAACATTTGTGCTCTGTTGATACTAGTTCCGATCCTAGCTGATCTGGCTCATGAGGCAGGTATCCTTCTTCCTTCACCACACATGTCCTTCCTGAAACTTCTCCGATAGAGGAAGATGAACCTCTGTGGGTGGAGAATGTAGGAAGAGGAGCAGTTAGGAGGTGAAAGCAGCCCTGAAACTGACCCAAGGGTGGTAAAGCTCCTCTCCAGCCCCCGTGTGCCAGCTTTGGAGCTCGGAGCCCTACCCTTACTCATATAACCCTCATTACAATCGTCAGAGGCATGCTGTCATCCCAGTTTTCTTAGGGAAAGTGAGGAATACGTTTCTAAAAATAAATAAAAGCCAAGATACGAAGCCTCGCTGAATAAGGAAATAAGCTTGGAAACAGGCATGTTGGGAGCAAAGCCTTTAAGTCTAACCCTGAGATTGCCTTTGTCTGCAGCACAAGGCTATTTCTATCATGGTCAGAGAAGACAGTATAAAGAGGTGAAAGAGCCGGGCGGTGGTGGCGCACGCCTTTAATCCCAGCACTCGGGAGGCAGAGCCAGGCGGATCTCTGTGAGTTCGAGGCCAGCCTGGGCTACCAAGTGAGTCCCAGGAAAGGCGCAAAGCTACACAGAGAAACCCTGTCTCGAAAATCAAAAAAAAAAAAAAAAAAAAAAAAAAAAGAGGTGAAAGAACAGGATTTTCATTGAATTCGGTTAAGGTAAGAGCAGTAAGATCCGAGATCCACAACTCAGGCTGGCTATTTGAAGGTGAAACTCCTAGTACATTGCTGAGGAACCAGACCAGAATAGAAGGACACTAGAAAGACAAGGTCAGGTCTGAGCAGGTGCACAAAAACGGAGGTCCGTCTCTCCCCGAATCTCCAGTGCTAATTAAGTGTGTGTAATGGTTTTAAAATTGCTTTTATTCCTTTATCATTATATATGCTATATATAATATGCATATTACATGATATTAATTTTAATAATTATATGATATTATGCTTTATTTCCTTTTATTATATAATAATATAATAAATATTATATATAGCATATATAATAATAAAAGGAAAAAAGCATTTTCAAAACCATTAACCCACCAATTATATATATAATGATAATTTGCAATGATGTTACAAAGTTTTTGTGAGGGATTAACTTTGACAAATATTAGCGTACAGTTAAGCTGTGGAAATAAATTACTTTTAGAAATTTTCCAGCTCCGCATGAATGGGGAAGTACAATTAACTTGCAAACAGAGAACTTTAAAAGCAGGCCAGCACTTTCACTCGGTCCTCGGTGTGGTGTTCTCAGTCGCCCTGTTTTCAGCCAGTTCTCTTGCTAAATCTCCAGACATCCTCCTCCCTTCAGTTGTCATTAAGTCTGCCATGCCTTTCCTGCCATCCTCACCGACAGAGGCAGTCGCTGTGACCGATGGCATCACATTGTGAGTCAGCAGACTGACGTCGGAAGAAATGTTTATTTCTAGAGTTCAGTGCAGGAGACCTACCCACATCTGAGTCCAGTTCGATATTTCGATGAGATAGAATTTAAGTAACCCCATGTAGTGACAGGTGACTGTGACAGCCACACACCCAGAATTGTGCCTGGTGCGTGTGCTCTGTACTACGTCCCTAATGCCCTGATTGCAGCGGGACCTGGACAGAGGCATTAACTGGCCGTTGGCATATGAAAAGACCTGCTGGAGAAAGCTCTTCTTGACGGGCGTGCCTTATGGATTTGATGACAATAGCTAAATCAGTCTTGCTATGTCTTGTATGATTTGAACTTGAGACAAACCGAAAGTAGTAGGTGAAGGAGCAGGAGGTGCAGAGTGGACTGACAGTCTGCGATTTGAACATTGCTGGGTGGGGAGCATCAGAACAAGCTCGAACACCGTTCCAACGGTGGAGACAAGGACTTCAGTGTGATCTTTCCAGTCCTGTGCAGGTGGGTATTCAGCCTGTGTGCCTACAAACGGGATTATGTTTAGATCATTTTGTGTTTCGAATAGATAACATAGCACTTAGCATATACTAATCAGTGGGTGTGTATTCAGTGAACGGAATGAGCGGTGCTGAACTGGAATATAATTTAGTTTGATTATTCCCTTTGTTTAGAGAGAGCCGTGGTTACAAAAATCTACTTATCTCTTAAGCTCCATAAACATTTTTAATTGTTCTTTAATTTTTTAGCTTCATTTGGAGGAGAAAAAAAAAACTCTAAAAAACTGGAAAATATTTGCAATATCAAGGAATGGCTTTAAAAAATCTAATTACATCACCAACACTGTTTAGTTTGTTTTTTGCCTGCCATCATTTAGTTCAAATTCCTACAAACATATTCTAGTATCTTTGGGAAATTTTGAAGCTAAATTTTGTTTGAGGCTGTTTCCAGTAATACAGTGTGAGCAGGGACCAGGATTCCTCAGTTCATTATTTCCTGGGATTAACTGCTTGGTCAGCTTTGAGTGGGTATTAACATCTGTTATAAATTCCTTGTCAGGTTTTGGTTTTTATTGTAAAATGCTAAATGTGCCTGGCAAAGACTGATTTGCGTGTGTGCGTGTCTGTGTGTGTGTGTGTCTGTGTCTGTGTGTCTATGTGAGGGATTGGGGGATGGAAACAATAGAAAGCTGTCGGGCTGGCTGAGGAATCTGCTGGTGGTGGTGGTAGAAAGAGCTCCATTGTAAAGGAAGCTATAGGAAGTACCACTGGCAGTCCCTGCCTCAACAGCAGAGTCAGTCAGTGGGTCCCAAGGAGAACAAACTGTAGGCCAAGTCACGCGGTGGAGTCTGTCGGTGGAGTCTGTCGGAGCTTCCCTAGGAGTGGGAGGGCGAGACCCTGGCGGCGTTATCGGTGCTCTGGACTCCTTATTTATGGGGCCCTGGGTCCTCCCCGTGCCCAGCCCTGTGATTCCCATCTTCTCAACGCCTGCTGCGATTTTTGTCAAGGGCCTCTCTCTTCTTCAAGGGTGTGTTTTGTGGCAGGCACTCTGACAATGTAGAGAAATAAACCAAATGACGGAACTGGAGCCGGCCTTGCCGCCGCCATCTGACTCTGTATTCTTTTCAACGGAGCTAGAAACTGAAATCTGCTGGTTTCTCTACTCTTAGCCTGATCCAGATAAAGTCATTTCCACACTTTGTTCGTGTGTTAAGAATGACTCAGATTCTTCAGAGGTCTGCACTTTTCCTTGTGCAAATGTTGATAATTAAGTCCAGAGAAAACTGCTGAGGTCCCCATCTTTTAAATGTTGACTTTAGTGTTCCCAATAAATAAACTCATGCTTAAGCTTTGCTCACAACACTTTGTCTTTAATATTAACTTACACTGATAGAAATGACTTGTTTTAGCCACATACTCACCAAGAACCAAGTAAGAGAATTCCGTCGTGGAGTGGTCGCCCAATCTGGATGGAAAAGATGGTGATGTGCAGAGTCAAAGTTCCACACACGTTTGCTGTCCACTCTTACGGCCGGCCGACAATATGTCAGTACTGCAAGCGGCTACTGAAAGGCCTCTTTCGCCAAGGGATGCAGTGTAAAGGTAGGACTGGTTACACTCTCGGTACAAGTCATGTCTGTTTTTTATAATAGATACAAGTGTAAAATATCTAAGTTTCAGAAACTTCTACTGTCTAAATTGTTCTTTATAGTTAGCTTAAAAAAGCAAAACTACACAGACACACACACACGTGCGCACACACACACACACCCATCACATGAGTACCAAATTACTTTTATCTCCAGTATTTTATATTGTTAGAAAAGAAACCATCAACCAGGAGGTGGTGGCGCACGCCTCTAATCCCAGCACTCGGGAGGCAGAGGCAGGCGGATCTCTGTGAGTTCGAGGCTAGCCTGGTCTGCAGAGTGAGTTCCAGGACAGGCTCCAAAACTACACAGAGAAACCCTGTCTCGAAAAACCAAAAAGAAAAAACCATCAAAGCAAGTGTATGAGAAATAATGGCACTCATTCTCATTGAAATAAGCATAAGATCACGTGGCTGGTGAGGAGGAAATCTGCATGCCGGTAGATTCTTCAAGAAGTAAGAGGAGGAGAGGTGGGGCTGCCAGCACGTTTGCATCCTACAAAGGGCATTAGCTTCATTACACAGACAAAGAAACCCACCCCTGTCGGGTCGAAAAACTAGTAAATGCCGTCAGGAGTTGAGACCAGACTGTCTTCCAAGACTTGAGTTCCTAGAGGGAGGAAGACACTATCTTGGAGTGATTTCGAGGAAGTGTAATCATATCTCATCTTACCTGTTTAAATGATGAGCTGAATATTTTTATTTTAGATTGCAAATTCAACTGCCATAAGCGCTGCGCGTCCAAAGTCCCAAGAGACTGCCTCGGCGAGGTGACTTTCAACGGAGGTAAAATTCTCTATCTTTCATAGCCTTTGTAAAAGATGGAAAAGGTCGTGACTCTGTATTGTCTGGGTAAGGATGGCTGCAGATTTCATTCTACTGGCTTTGTTCAAGGTTTTCTCCTGACGTATTAACTGAGCAGAGGCCGGACGCTACTCAGCAGTAGTTACTGCCTTCCCATCTTTCTCTTAGCACCCTGCTACCCTGTGGCCTCCAGCATCCAGTGGTGCGGCATAATGACTTCCATTTTAAAATGTTGTCTTTATTCTTTATTTGTTGACTTTTAAATGTAAGAACAACCCTCTGAGGTAACCCTAATCAATATCGAAAACACAAATACATTAACTAATTTGCCTAAGAAGTAGGGCTAAGAAATGCAGAGCTAGAATTTGAACCTATATCTGGCTCTTTGGTCTTTCTCTCATGTAATCTATGACTCTCTTCCTGATTTTGGAAGGGAGAGATAGGGAGTACATGCTTTAGGCTTCTAATATAATTTCCCTTTAACGATTTGTACAAGAGATAACAGTAAATGTAAGAAAACTTCTAGGAATCGGCTAAGGATTGAAAATCTAACTCCTTGAGAATCTAATTAACATTTTCTGCATATTTTTCTTGGCTGTCAGTTGTCTTGAGTCTGTTTAGGCTGGTATTAAATACCATAGATGGGATAGTTTATAAACAAGAGAAATTAATTTCCCCATAGTTCTGAAGGCTGAGAAGTCCAGGGAGCCAGCAGTTTCTGAGTTTGATGAGAATCTTACCTCCTGGTTCATGGAAGATACCATTTAGCTCCATATTACATGCTGGAATGTTCGAATAAGCTCTTTGGGGCACTAATGCAAATCGTAGCAGATCCTTCACAACGGATCACCTCCCAAAGGTCCACTTCTGATACCCTTACCTTAGAAGGTAGATTTGATACACAGGTTTTGGGTAAACCTATCAGTTGCACCATAGCTAGTTGACATCATTAGTAGAGTATAATTGGTCTTTAACTATACCTGAAGTCTTGTCCAGCTTTAGAGTTTACACATTTTTTTTTGCCTTCCTACCTTTTGATAAATGGATATGAAATGCCATATATTCGTTTTAATTTGCATTTCTCTGGTTCCTTATGAGTTTGAACATCTTTCAAGTGTTTCCTGGTTCTTTATGTGCGCCCCCCCCACTGCACTACCTGTTCAAATGCTTTATTTTTGTGATAATTTGACAGACTAACCCTTTTTTCATTTACAGATGGCATAATGGCTTGCTGGGATATTTTTTAGCAGCTTTGCTGAGATCTAGTTTGTTTGTTTTATAGTTTACCCGTTTGATATATTCACAGAGTTGTGTGGCCATCACTATCTAATGCTAGGAATTTTCATTTCCCTCCAAAATTCATAGTCCTGCCCTATCCTTCCCTCTCCAGTAGCCTCTGGCAGCCAGTGGACGACCGCAGTCTGCTTTCATGTTTGTCTAGTTTAGATAGACAGACTGTGTAGAAATACAGTGAGACAATAAATATGTAGGCTAGTGGCGGTTTCCTTTTACTTAGCGTAAGGTTTTCAGAGTTCATACAGATTGTAACTATGCCAGTATTTAGTTCTTCTCATGGACAAATGATACCGCTCCCAGAGAAACGATTGCAGTTTATTTGTGCAATTACCAGTCAGTAGGTGTTTGAGGTGTACCTCCTTTGGGGCTCTTAGGAATACCGTTGCTATGTACACTTGGGTATTACTTCTCTGTGGACACACATTTCACTTGGGCAGACACCTGGTATAGTAGGTGGTTGAGGGACTTGGTAGCTATGTTTAACATTTTGAAGAGCTGCCAGCTTTCCAAAGCCATGTACAGGCTTACATCCCGTCAGCATTTAAATAAATGTTTTGTCTTTTATTATTGAATTGTAGAATTTCTTTACATATTCTGAAATGCAACTCTCTTATCTGACTTCTTTACATATGCTTTCTAGAATTTGTAAAACCCTGCATTTGATCCCCAGCACACACACACACACAAAGTAAGAAACAATCACCTTGAGTCACCTCACCTTGAATCTTCAGGATATTTTTCTCAAGTTTTAAAACTTTTTTTCCTAGTTAGTTTTAAGCCTGATCCAATTAGCTGCATCGATACGTTGTTAATATTAAACTGCAGCTGTTCTTTTGAAACTCTCCTAGAACCTTCCAGTCTGGGGACTGATGCAGATATACCCATGGATATTGACAGCAGCGATATGAACAGTGACGGCAGGAGGGGCTTGGATGACTCGGAGGAGCCATCCCCACCCGAAGACAAAATGTTCTTCCTGGACCCGACTGATCTTGATGTGGAGCGAGATGAGGAGACTGTGAAGACAATCAGGTAATGCACCGAGCTGCTGCCGAAGGCAAAGGCAGGTCAGGGTCTCCATTAAGGAAAGGCGGCATTTTTTTTTTTCAATGTAGTTTAAAATCTAATTAAATCAGGGCTAGTTCTTTTTTGCATGCACCACAGTATTTCTAAAATAAATTCTGTTACCTTTGCCATCTACTCGAGAGAAAGTACAGGAATCTTTACTTTCTTAAAGGGAAAAGGACTTTATTTAATAGAGGCTGTATAAAATAGCTAGCTGTGGAGCCGTTACCTCCAGGTGCCAGTGTTAAACCGTTAAATGAAGCAGCGGCGTCTTCACACATGCGGGTCACCAAGTGGTCGAAGGAGCAGTGAAGAGCACATTCCTGAGATGCTGCCAGACACGTGCACCAGATTGCATTCCTGAGATGCTTCCGTACACATGCACCAGATTGCATCTTTCTCCAGAATTTTCCCCGACCTGATTTTACTTGCTACAGTGTTTAATTTTCTTAATACCTATAAGAAATTTCCCTTAACAGTGTTTTTTCTTTAATATGATCTGCTGATTCTAAAATTTGAGCCCTGTAAAGTTGAGTAAACATGTTTTGCCTTATGAATTTATTCTTCTGCCTAGGGCAAGAAAATTCCTCAACAGCAAACCCAAATGAACCCCCCAGGCTCCAGGTCACCTGGTCAGAAGATCCTTCTGCTCCGTCCCTCGTGGCCCCCTCCCTTCCCCACCCTCTCGTGTGTGTCCACGACCTTCCAGAAAAGATCATGACAGACTATTAGTTACAGTATTATAGAAGTTTGAAATGTTAACTGTGTATCAGTATAACAGGGCTAATTTAGTTTCCTTTTAAGTCATTGTCTCCTTACAATATTTTGGAAAAATATTAGCTCAGTTATCTTTTAAATTTTTGATGAGGCTTTATGCAGTATGTGTGATTCTTTATCAAATAGATATTGAAAATACTGACCATCCATTTTAAATATTTTTTAGTCCATCCACAAGCAATAATATCCCACTGATGAGGGTTGTCCAGTCCATCAAGCACACAAAGAGGAAAAGCAGCACAGTGGTGAAGGAAGGGTGGATGGTCCATTACACCAGCAGGGACAACCTGGTCAGTAATCCATCATTCCAATGCTCTAGTAACACTTGGTCGTGCTTGTCGCTCTGTGCACTTGTCAAATTAAGGATGAACTCTCTATTAAGACATACAGACTACAGTAATGTGTAAAAGTTATACTTGAATGATCATCAAGATTCAAAAGGATCACCAGAGTAATGACTCAAAACATGATTATAGCTAAAGATGGAAGGAATTGGGATTGCATTTGAATAGCCGCCTTTAGTCAGGTAGGAAGCGGTTGCTTTTGTGTGTATAAACAGTGTGAATGGACATGGTTCTCTCTGGATCGCTGTACCAAGGAGGAGGAGTCGGAAAGTTCCAGAGCGGAAGGGGAAGGCAGCGTAGTGCAGCAGTTCAGAACACTGGCTTCAGAGCTAGTGCTCACGAGTCTGTCCCCGAAGCTGTAAACGTGGTCCGGTGACTTCTTTTTCTGTATGCCTCAGCTTCTCCGTCTCTAAGGGCCGCACAGTAGTAATTTCTCAGACATCCAGATGAGCTGATAGATGTGAGAAGAGCTTGGGGCAATGTTCGGCATGCAGTAAGCGGTCAGTAGATATCAGCGGCCATAGAAACCTGCTGGACATTTTCTCGTAAGTCTTAAGAGTACTAGGAAGTCAGGTTGCTGCAGTGTTCAGAGCTCCCCGCAGAAGTGGAGGAGGGGCAGTTCACGTGGAAATTCACCACTGGTCCAAGGAGAGAGTAAGTTGCTGTGGAGTGTCCAGCCACAGATGAGACGGCGGCTGGATGGCGCCTGCTCTTCTCCCCGAGACTCAGGGACCATGGCAGAGAGAGTGTAAGAGCCAGAGGTGGGGGGCCAGGGTGAACAGTGTCTTCTGGACGTGGACGGAACTGCTGTGCTCCTGAACTCGGCAGCTGTGGCTACCTGCACCAGATCAAGCCGGTCACCATTCCAGGGGGGAGGGCTTCCGTGGGGGAGACTTGATGGTCTTTAAGGTTATGGCTCCCAGTAGGTCAGCCATGCATCACCGATGGCCACATACAGACCCAGGGATTTATGGGCAGCAGCAGTTGAACTCTAGGTTATTTTTTAAGGAGAGATACAAAATTGGGGGGTGGGTATGAGATCTGGGCAGAGTTAGGGGAAGAGTAAGGATGACCAAAATACATTGTATGCATCTATAAAATGCTCAAAGAATAAAAATATTCAAAACCATGTCAAGTGTTGAATATATTTAGCTGGCTTCAGTGAAGTTTTATGTGGTAGCAGCATCGCAGTGAACACTTTCTCATTTGTTTATAATCCACGTCCTTTCAACTGGAACTGAAATACACACACATTTGAGAGTTCAGTGGAGTGTCTAATGATGGGTAATCAATAAATAGTATCGGGATAACCAAGTGGCCCTTTTTTGGGGGGGTGGGGGGGAAATGACCATAACATAAATCACACTTCACATGTAACAAAACTCAATGGATCAAAGACAGGAATGGTTTCGACTTAAACCAGGAGAAGAGACATTGGAAGAGTAGTTTTATAAAGACTCAGCGTTGGCGAGGGGGGTCAGTGAACCAGTCTCATGAAAGAAATTCTGTATGGCAACCTGAACAAACAAGACAAAGGACAGACTGGAAAAAATATTTCAACTTATGCTTTAAATAGGAGCTAATCTGAAATGTGTGAATAAAGCCAACAAATTGATAGTAAAAAATACCGCATCCCAATAAAATCAAATTAATATGAAAAGAGATTACAGAAGAGGAAATAAAATTACCCATATACATAAAGTGTGGTTTCGTTTATAAGAAATAATCAACTTCAATGTGCATTGACAAAACAATTTTCTCTTTTTTTTAATCTGGTGCGTCAGAGATCAAAACTTCACAATACTGTGCAGTTAGACAGGGTCTATGTCCATGGTTCTCAACTTGTGGGACACAACCCTTTTGGAGGCCTAAAACCATCGGAAAACACAGATATTTATATCATGATTCATAATAGAAGCAAAAGTACAGTTATGAAGTAGGAATGACAATGATTTCATGGTTGGGGGTCACCACAACATGAGGAACTGTATTAAAGGGTCACACACATTAGGAAGGTTGAGGACCACTGGTCTAAGGAATCACCCATGTGTTGGGGATATGACTATAAATTAGGTCCAGTCTTATGTAAAATAACACTATCAAAACAGTCTCTTTATATCTCTTACGATTTTTTCCATATTTTTGAGAATTTCATATATGTATACAGTGAAATTTATCTACTCCATTTCACCCCATGTGCCCCCAACACATCACCCTTTCAACTTCATGTCTGTGTGTGTGTGTGAGATAACCACTAAGTCAAGTTAATGAGTACTACCCATATATACCTGGGTATTTGGCCACTCACTGAAGCATGTAAACCTACCAGTGTCCACATCCTCAAAAAAAAAAATGAATGATTTCTCCCTCTCAGAACAACTATCCACTGTTAATGGCCCCTCCTTAATGGGCGAGACCTGAAGATCCTCTACTCCACCTGTGCCAGGAATTTGTCAGGCTTGATCTGGTACAGTCTCGTGCAGGGAGCCACAGCTGCTTGGAGTGTGTCAGTCCCTGAAGATGGCGTTCCACAACACCCCTCCCCATCCTCGGGCTCTTTCTGCCTCCTGTAGGATGTTCCCTGAACCCTAGTGGTGCTGGAGTAAATATCAGTGTTCCGTTGAGGACTGAGTCTTTATTCTCAGCACATTGGCTCGTTCTGTGGCTTTCCACTGGCTGCTGTCCACGATTAAAAGAAACCTCTGACCTAGCTTGAGTGCAGCCCAGTTCTCTAAGCTGGCGCTACAGAAGTGTGGGTCTGGGCCTCTGCATCCAGGAAGCCCTTCCCTTAGGCACCAGGAGCTGGGTGAGCAGGGATGGTTGGGGCCTGAGAACCCCTTGCCTGTTGGTGCTCGGGGGAGCAGCTCTCTGTGTATCTTTGGACAGCGTCTAGAAATTTAGCATCTAAGTAAATTACATAAATCTCTGCATATGAATAACAGGCATTAATGTGTGCGTACAGAAATGTCTATCAAAGGATCCCTCAAAATGTAACCATGTAACTTAGAGAAGAGTAAGAAACGGGATAGGAGTCACGGAGAGTCATACTTTTCACTAGATTTCCTTTTTATATTTTGAAATTTTTAAACCCCATTAATCAAAACTACTCAAAATACAGGAATGGGTATTAAAGGAAAAGTGCAAGTATTTTAGAAGGAAAAATCTTTGAACCACATTTCCTAACTTCTGTTTTTAATAGAGAAAGAGGCATTATTGGAGACTCGACAGCAAATGTCTGACATTGTTCCAAAATGAATCTGGATCAAAGTATTATAAGGTAGGGGTTTTGCATTGTTATAAAATGTTAAGATATTGTGGTAATTGTATTTTCTGGGTTCAGTAAAGTTGTATATGGTTAACTTCATTTTCATGTGACTGTACTTCTTACGTCTGCCTACTAGAGTTTACAGAGGTCTTTGTTAGGTCCTTGTTGAAGTTGCTGCCCGTGGCCTCCATTTCACATACACACCAAAAAAGAGGAATTACGTATGTTTTCTGACCTAATATTTGGACTAAGCGTTAAATAATTAATAATTTAGGGCAACGCATAGACTAGAAGGAATGCTTAAGCAACCTTACTGACCGAGATTCTCTTTCTGCCGTTATTTTTTCCTTGCTCAGCTTCAGGGTCCTGCTTGCAGAAGAGCAGTCTCCAGACACAGTTGTCGAGTAGCACTGGCTAATTGATGTTGACAAGTGGTATGGAGGCAACCTGCCTTCCTAAGTGCTTCTCTGCCTGCATTTTAATGATCTGCTATAGCCCAAATCCCTCTTCCTTTGGTGTGTGTGTGTGTGTGTGTGTGTGTGTGTGTGTATGTGTGTGTGTGTGCATACATGTATACCTGTGTACACACAGTGCATATGCGAGACCAGAGGTGGATGTCAGATGTCTTCCTCTCTTGTCCACCTTTTTTTTTTTGAAGTGTAAGACTTTTTTTTTAATGTGTATGAGTGTTTTGCCTGAATGTATGTATGTGCACATTGTGCATGCCTGGTGCCCATAGTGGCCAGAAGAGGGCATTACGTTCTCTGGAACTAGAATTATAAGTAGTTGTGAGCTACCCTGTGAGTTCTAGGAACTGAACCCGGGTTCTCTGCAAGAGTAGAAAGTACTCTTAACCACTGAGCCATCTCTCTAGCCCCACCACCTTATTTTTTAAGATGGGGTTTCACTAAGCCTGGGGCTCACTGTTTGGGATGGACTAGCCACCCAGTGGTCTCCCTGAGACCCCTCTGTCCCTGCCTGCCACCCTCCAGCCCTGGGGATCAGACCGGTCCTCACGCTTGCCCGGCTAACACTTTACCATCTCCCATGCCCTGAGTCTAGTACCCCGTGACCTGCCTCTAGCGTTACTAGACAGTCAAGTCACTGAAGACAGACGTACCAGCCAGGCGGGGGTGGCGCACGCCTTTAATCCCAGCACTCGGGAGGCAGAGCCAGGCGGATCTCTGTGAGTTCAAGGCCAGCCTGGTCTAAGGAGCAAGATCCAGGACAGGCACCAAAACTACACAGAGAAACCCTGTCTCGAAAATAATAATAGTAGTAGTAGTAGTAGTAGTAAATTACATAGTTTTTCAACGCCTAACTTTTATTGCAGGAAATTCCACTTTCAGAAATTCTCCGCATATCTTCCCCACAAGATCTCACGAGCATTTCTCAAGGCAGTAACCCACACTGTTTTGAGATCATCACCGACACTGTGGTGTACTTCGTTGGGGAGAACAACGGGAGCAGCTCTCACAACCCTGTCCTCGCGGCCACTGGAGTTGGACTCGACGTAGCCCAAAGCTGGGAGAAAGCAATCCGCCAGGCCCTCATGCCCGTAACCCCTCAAGCAAGTGTTTGCACTTCTCCAGGTCAAGGGAAAGACCACAGTGAGTGAGACACCTTGGTGGCTTCCTGTCTTGAGCATTTGTAGATATACTTGTGTGACTGCTTTTTTTTTTAAATCATTTTCTGTTCTCCATCTTTAATGTTTAAGTTTTGTCTTTAATAGCTAATCCCGCTAGTTAATACTTTCATGAAGTTAACTGGATATTGTTCATATATACATATACATGAATACATACATGAATGTTGGCTCCAGTGTATATCCACAGCTAGCTACAGAATTAGTCTCTTCACATTTAAAGTCTGCATCTACCAGCCTGCTGTCTGTCCAACCCGAGACAGGGACTCTTGCCTCTCTATAACAGTAGCTACTTTGTAGGGTTGTTAATGTTAAGTGGAGCCAGACTTCAGACAAAGAACAGTGCTACAGTGCTTAGCATCCATGAAGTCTCGTGACATTAAGCATTAGTATTTTATTTCATGGTGGCATAGAAACCAGTAATAAAGTACTGTGTTTATGTTATACACATAAAATCTGTTAAGTCAGAATGATGCTACTTTTAAGTGACTCAAGAGAGAAATTAAAAAGATACTGAGGCAGCCGTGGTGGCACATGCCTTTAATCTCAGCCCTGGGGAGGCAGAGGCAGGTGGATCTGTGATTAGTGGCCAACCTGGTCTGTAAAGCAAGTGCCAGCCAGGACCATGATGAGATTCTGTCCCAGAAAAAGAAAGAAAGTGTATTACACCAACAGAACTTATAAATTAGCCCAAATTTAATAAAGGTTGAATGAATAGTTAATAGTAAATAAATTATAGTATAATACCACTTTTACCTTGTTGTAATTATGTCTATAAAGAATTATAAAGAAACATTCATTCATTATATTGAAATAAGTGACAATTCCTTACCAAATAAAGTTTACCTCAGTTTACCTGTATTATTTTATGTAGCTGTTTTGTGCATTGTATTAGGCCTTTAACTGAAATTCAAAAAAGAAATAATAAAAGCTATTTAAGGGAATATGATATATATGGGTGTTAGGTAGTAGCAAAATACAGTACAGAACCAAAATAAGGAATGCTTCACTATAGAAACAGATCTGAATAGGAAAAGTAGAGGCTTCATAATAGAAAATTTGGTTTGGGATTTGGACTGCAGTCAAGAGTAGGGTAGGCAGAGGTAAAGGAAGAGATGGAGGAAGTAGTCTTCCTTTCACGGGGAAGACAGGTATAATCAAAAAGATGAAGGTTGTAATCATGTACATCTTTGGTGTTCAGTGTGACTTGAGGAAGGATAAATAAATGGAGATAGTTAACAGTGTTTAAATTCTGGGGGAGATTTAAACAAAATAAACATTTAATCAAAACTAAGAACCCTTCCCCTAGAATAATAGAGACATATATACACACACATTTTCTTTTTAATATCCAAAGGCTTAGTTAAAAGTCTCTATGGCAGAATCATAGGAGTTAAAAGTGAAGGATGTAGCCAGGTGGTGGTGGCACACGCCTTTAATCCCAGCACTCGGGAGGCAGAGCCAGGCGGATCTCTTTGAGTTCGAGGCCAGCTTGGTTTACAGAGCGAGATCCAGGACAGGTTCTAAAGCTACAGAGAAACCCTGTCTCAGGGCGGAGGGGGCGAGGGGGAGAGGTGGGGTGAAGATCACAGGGAACGTAGACTCAGTGCTGTTTCTTCCTTTGCTCTGTGATCTTGGGCTCTGAGTTCTGTCATCTAAAGTGGGATGAATCATAAGTGCACATAATGCACATGACGTAGTGCCCAACACTTAAGTTATAGTGGCCCTGTTCTGCTGCTCTGGCGACCTGTGTAACAACCAGTCGGAAACTGTAGATGGAGAGGCCATTGCGAGAGAACAATGAAACTAGGGAGCAGACGGCTAGAAAGGCAGTGGCAGGCACACTAATTCTGTCGACGGGCCTTCTCTTGATCGTTGTTTAAAGATCTCAATTCCAGGCTAGTCTGGGTTACATAGTGAGTCTCTAAAAAGTATAGGAAATATGAATTTAAACAGTTTTGAATTGGCTTAGTATTTTTAAATAGGGCTCTTCATAGGGGTGTGTGTGTGTGTGTGTGTGTGTGTGTGTGTGTGTGTGTGTGTGTGTGTGTGTGTTGGTATATGTACCTGGGTGCACCTATGAAAACTAGAGAGTATCAAGTCTTTTTTTCTTTTATTCTCTGCTATTCCCTTGAGACAGGATCTCTCACTGAAACAGGGGCTAGCCTCTCCAATGGACTGAATGGCCAGCAAGCTCCCATAATCCTCCTGTTTCTGCTCCTCACAGAGCTTCATAAGGCCACCCTTGGCCTTTCCAAATAGGTGCTGGGGATTGAACTCAGATTCCCTGTGCTTGCACAGCAAATGCCCTTGCCCACTAAGCCATCCCCCAGCCCATGTTTCTTATTTATGAGGAAGAATTTGCTTAAATATTAGTGATGTCTTATTTTTAATATGTAGACCTGTGAAAGAAAGTTGGTATTTTGTTTCTTTGGGTTGTCTAGAGGAGTCCGGTCTTGAATAATGTCCTTTTGCTTGTTTACATGTTTCCCTGTTTTTATTACCTTCTTTGTTTACCATAGTGACTCATGGAAACTTTGTAGAAATAGTTATGATTTCTATATTAGTTTGTAGAAAAAGTTATGAGAGCTTTAAAAAAAAAATGTGCATGGCTGTTTTGCCTGCGTGTATGTCTGTGTACTACATGTGTGACTGATGCCCTCAGAGGCCAGAAGAGGATATCAGATCCCCTAGGACTGGAGCTACATGTTGTTGGGAGCCACCCTGTGGGTGCTGGGACTCCAACCCAGGTCCTCTGAAAGAACAGCCAGTGTTCTTAACCACTGAGCCATCTCCTGATTCATGCTTTTCCTGTTTTAAAACAACATAAGCAGTGTAGAGGTACAAATATTACAGTCCTCATCCCCAGGCCTACATCACTCACTCCCCAGAAGTAACATTCTTAGTTTGAACTCAGACCCTGCTACCATGTGACTTGTTTTTTCATCTTTCGCTCCCAGGAGTGCTGGTGATTGAACCCGGGGCCTCACACTTCACACACAATGCTCTGTCACTGAGCCATGCCAACAACCGTCCTTAATAGGACATCATGACTAGTTTTCTGACTGGATAATTATGGATCTGTGTTGTTTGTTACATACTTAGAGGATTATTTTGTATAAATGTGTCATGTTTTATTTTACCAAGTTTCTTGTTGATGGATTAGTATTGTGTATAACATTTTAATGAATATATTATCTGTATTGATATATTTTTTAAGTTTGATAAGCTATTGGTTTTCATGCCAGTAAGTAATATTAAGTCATATACTAATGATTTCATGCTTTTCTCATATTTCGTTCTTATATTTTACAGAAGATCTGGCGACCAGTATCTCCGTATCTAACTGTCAGGTCCAGGAGAATGTGGTAAGCAATAATTATATCCAATATGTGCAGACTGGTTAATTAAAATAATGAAATTAATGTGAAAGACTTAGCAGGTATAAGTCGTGTCCCCAAGTACTGAGCAGTTGCTAAGATACTAAACTCAACTTTGTAGTGATGCTGTCTGTCCCTAAAGTTCAACTGTCCCTGAACTAAACTTGGTAATGATGCTGTCCCTAGGCTAAACTTCATGGGGATGCTGTCCCTGCTTTAGGTAAGAAACTGGAGTAGATTTTTTTTTTTTTTTATCATAAAAATAAGAATTTCTTCACTTAAAAGATGACATGAAGCCAGACAGCGGTGGCGCATACCTTTAATCCCAGCAATCGGGAGGCAGAACCAGGAGGATCTCTGTGAGTTCGAGGCCAGCCTGGCCTACAGAGCGAAATCCAGGACAGGCACCAAAACTACACAGAGAAACTCTGTCTCGAAAAAAAAACCAAAAAAAAAAAAAAAAAAGATGACATGAGAATACTACACAGTGATAAGCTCTGTCGTTAGGTCAGGCTACTTCATCCTGGTCCACAGAGAAGGCTTCCTAAGGAGAAGTACGCCCCGAGCGCCCCTCAGAGGATGGAATGCGGTTTGACACGGGCTTGAGGGGTCAGCTGGGGGACATTCAAGCAGGGACAGGAACAGGATGAGCAAATGGAAGGCAGCAGGAAAAGGAGGGCCTTCGGGGAGGAGATTAAGTTTGACTGCTGTGTGTAAACTACTTTTGTGGTAATGTGGCAGCCTTTTTCAGTAAAGGACCAGGTAGTAAACAATTACATGGTAAAGTCTACCCAACTTGTCCACTGTAGCGAATACCAAACAAGAACGAGTATGACTATTTTAATAAATGTGTGGCCACTAAAACATGAATCTCATGTAATATTCACATATCACAAATTATTACTTTGATTTGTCCAGTCATTTTAAAAACTTAACCATGGATTAAGCCATAGAGAAAGAGCCAGGAGCCATACTTTGCCACCTCTTGGATCAGACTGAAAGAAACAAAGAAAGATGCTAGAAAACTGATCTGTGTTGTTCTCTGTAAAGATCTCTCTTTCACCTGGAGTGTAAGCTATTACAGTTTTCCGACATAAGTCTGCAGCTTTCCGAGACTGAAGTTGAGAATGAATTTCTAGTCAGTAAGAGATCGTAAGCATCAGGAGTAACAACCCCTGGGTCTCATGTCCTGGTGATAACCAGAATAAATGCCATATTGAGGAAAGAAAGGGGAACCGCGGGAACGTGAGAGAAAACGTCTGACTGACCCCACAGGAGCCTAAAGATCTGCGCGTGCACGGCCAAGGAGAAAAGACTCGACTTGGGCCTCCTTTACTTTAATGCCCCTTGTCTAATTTGATTAGAGCCAAAATTCGATCACTTAAAAATTGAATTGAGGCTGATAAGCCTATACAAAATGATCCTTACAACCTTTAAAGCCTTCATTACAACGTAACATGTATGTATATACACATCCAGTGGTGTTTGTTTCGAGGTTGACGCTTTGGATATGCCAAATGGGCTAATGTTCGTCTTTCACCAGTCATACCCATAATGCAGTTCTGGCACTACCCACTCCAAGTCAGTGTTTGAATGTTCTGAGAGCAGCAAACAGTAACCGCCCCCCCCCCCCAAAAAAAATGGATGGCTGGATGGAGGAGCATTGAGTGGATTTCTGTGAGAATTCCACACACATCTCAATCCCAGCATGAATTTAGGTGTTTATTTTGGATATGGGTCTAGGTGCACATGTACACGTAGGGGCCTGGGCAAACTCGAGCATCTTTCCTGTCGAGCGCCTTCCACCGTGTGTGTGTGTGTGTGTGTGTGTGTGTGTGTTTTCTCTCTCATTAGCTTGGGGCTCACTGATTAGGCAAACTGGTTGACCAGCAACCTCTAGAGGAATCAGCATAGAAAACTTTTGCTGTAACATAAAAATTAAAATGTGTTTAATTAAGTATTTGAGTCAGTGACATTGGTGGTGTTGGCTTTCTTTCTTGATAGGACATCAGCAGTGTTTACCAGATCTTTGCAGATGAGGTCCTTGGCTCTGGCCAGTTTGGCATTGTTTATGGAGGTAAGCAATTACAGCCTTTTATATGTGTAGTTTCTGAATTGTAAAATTTTAAGATGGCTGTTACTCTTGTAGCTCATAGTTTTGTTTACGTTCCTTTTTCCCCAAAGGCTGGTTTGCATCCTCTCAAACAAGTCCTTCATGGTGAAACAGAGTATCCCTTCATTTCAGTTGCAAGATTCTTAAAGTAACAGAATCAGGAAATTATTTCTATAATAGTCTTTATCTCTTCTTGAAGATCGTTCATAAAGATGTGTTGGTGTTGGGTTGTGTGGACTGTTCACTGAAGTGTGTTCCCCACTCATTCACTGCAAAGACGACATTCATTTTCTGTTGACATGACTTCTCTCAGGTGTCCAGACTCACTCTGCTCTGTGTTTAAGGATGCTAATGAAACCGCTTAGTGTGCCTCAATATCTTGACAGCTGCTGGAGAAGCTAGTAGTAGACTGAATTGCACTGCTCATAGACTTGCTGGAATTAATTAAAACGAATGTGTCCATGAAAGTCCTCATAAGCTATAATTCAAGATGGACCGTCAAAGCTTCGCCATTCCTTACTTCCTTCAGTCGGACCCTTCTTTCCCACCATCTTGGAGTGAACCTTTCAGAAAATCAGCATCTGATACTAGCATTCGTGCATACCGAGAAGCATTCGTGCATACAGAAGCCCACTGTCTGTGGGTCCTGTCCGTTGTTCTTAGAGTATGCAAGCTGTGAGGTTCTCTCCTTGCTTGTGTAACGTCTGTTCTAACTGCGGTTCATTTTGATTTCTTCCAGTCGTGTTTGCACGTCTCTCTCCTTCACCTCTGCACCTTCTCCATCCTGTGTGCCTCTTCTGAAGGGCTGCCTCTACTGTGTTGTCTCCCCATCCCACCTCTCCACTGCATTGTGCTTCCTTGCTCCTCCTGCCACATAAGGGGCATCCTCCTGCCGTAGTGCCTGCGACATTTTGGGTTTCTCTCATCTTCCTACAGAACTTTGGGGTAGGCTTAGAGATGTCTGTGTTTTCTTGTATTCCCAGTATCTGCCATTACGTTTCACACAGAAAATGTGTGGGTTGTACACATAGGCCCAACACCGTGGTTTGCGACTTCAAATTTGTCCATTTTAGACTAGTGATATCTCCGGAAGACCTCACTGAGAGAAAAGAAAATGGTCTGAAGTACTGGTGGCATCTTACCAAACATGCCCTGTTTGTCTAGTCTTTTCAGTTAGTCACATTTTTAGGGCTGCGTCCTTGAAAGAGTTGTGAGTAACTTTCAATTTAATAGAATAATAGAGAACAAGTCACACGCCTGTTAACTGAAGCTAATAAATAAATGTACCTGCTGCTTTCACTTCTTAAACTATAGCATTTAGACAGTGACCCCACTTAATAAACACAAGGTAACTAATTCATTTAAGTACTGGATGAGATATTGCTGCCTACTTATTTTATACCTAGAATATAAAGATCTGGAGTTTAAGGGTATCGTACTTAATCACTCTGCTGACTTAGTGGACCTCAAATAAAATATTTCCATCTTGACAGTCTCTGAAGACTTGGTCAGGGCATTTAAAAACTTCCACTTACTTAACATGGTCTATTGCTTCTCAGCAAGCAAGTTCATGAAGATGTTATGTCATTTCAGGTCATAGTATTGCCTTTATTATGGGGCAGTACTCTAGAGGAAAGCATCTCATTTCTTAGACTGTGGAAAAGAAAATGAACAACAGAAAATGCAAGAGGAAATACCTAAAATTTCAGTCTGCACAACTTCCTGTGAAGCTTTTCTGTTTGTTACAGCGGCCAGTTTGATTCTTTCTGTTCTCTAACAGGAAAACACAGAAAGACTGGAAGGGACGTGGCTATTAAAGTCATTGACAAGATGAGATTCCCCACAAAGCAAGAGAGTCAGCTCCGCAATGAGGTGGCCATTTTACAGGTAAACAGTTAAAATGGCTGACACAGGCTGGCGTGTGGATTCATGAGTTTTGAGTGAGCATTGTAGATGATGCAGATGAGGACAGGTATCGGGGTTGGTTTTGATCTTTGGAATACCGAACAGTGCGGGTCCTTTTTTTAAGATCACCATAGTGTTTAAAAGTTTAAAGGGAGCTGCTATTACTTTATTCTGTAATACTAGTTTGATTAGAACTTTTTTTTCTGAGTGAAATCTCTAAAGATAATAAAGGAAATATCTAGTCTTAATTCATTCAGGGATACTGATGCTTCTGCTGTATTTTTTATCATGTCATTGTTTTATTCATCAAAGTCTCAGAAATGGCACTGGAGAGATGGTTCAATGGTTAAGAGCACCAACTGCTCTTCCAGAGGTCCTGAGTTCAATTCCCAGCAACCACATGGTGGCTCAACCACTTGTAATGAGATCTGGTGCCCTCTACTGGCATGCAGAGACACATGCAGGCAGAATACATAATAAATAAATCTTTAAAAAAAAAGTCTCAGAAATGACATGAATATACTAATTACCATTAAAATAAACACTGACTTAAAAGTTGTTCTATTAATTATGTTGCTCTATTAATTCAAAGTTATTTGTATTGCACTATTTCATTACAAGTTTGGTGATGTTTATTTTTTATTTATCTGGAATTTTTGTTGTTTTGGTTTTATTAACACCATGGCTTACTGTATGGCCCAAGATAGTCTCATACTCATGGTGCTCCTCCAGTTTGAAGTCTCCTGAGTGCTGGATTACAAATACGTACCACCATGCTCAACTTGTTAAAATATATTTGAAAGATTCGGTAGCAAGAATGTAAATCACATAAAATAAAGTACTTGTGTTTTTCTTTTAACCTAATGTCTTTATCTCCTTTGGGAGTTATCTAGAAGATAGAAATTTAGCTTGATTGTTGTATCTTCTGAATATTGTGAATAATAATATAATATGCAAATACCCATTAGTTCATTGTGTGGCTTTTGCATGTTATTTAAGAAATAACTGCGGGGCGATGGTGGCTCACGCCTTTAATCCCAGCACTCGGGAGGCAGAGCCAGGCGGATCTCTGAGTTCAAGACCAGCCTGGTCTGCAGGGCGAGATTCAGGAAAGGCGCAAAGCTACACAGAGAAACCCTGTCTCGAAACAAAACAAAAAAAAAGGAAACACCAGTGTACTTAGGCTTCCTTAAAGGAAAGAGTGTTTAAGCAAATGATTAATGATACATTTCTGACGTCATCACTGGTAAGTAACGTTCACTTCATGTTTTCAGAGGAATGATAATTAAAGTTTCTGGTCAGTTAGTAACTAAGCTCATCTCAAGCCCTGCTTCCAACAAAGCTAACTTTAGGTAGAATATTAGTAGCATTTATATAAGCTCAGTATGAGAGTGTGTTGTTGATCTCTTTTCCTATTTAATTTTGAAATCTTGCTGTCCAACTAATATGTAAAACAATAAAAATAAGGATCTATATCGATGGATTGATTTCACTTTGACTTTGATGACAAACAGTATTGAATTTAGGAATTTTCATTTAACGCACATAGTGAATTCTGGTTGTTTATAACAATGTTACATATTAGGTGATCTTAGGATGTCTCCAGATACACTGCTTTCATATAAACTTATTTATTTGAGGGAAGGAGTGTGTGTGTGCAAAATTTTGACTTTAGGTCTTTCTTGGCAGTGTGTAAATTTAACAAAACCTATATGTATGTGTGTGTGTGTGTGTGTGTATGTATGTATGTATGTGTATATATATATATATATATATATATATATATATAGTTTAAAGATGAACTTTAATGTTCTTTGAATGTAAGATAGAGTATAATGTGAACTTATACCACAAATACTTTGTAAAACAAAATTTTCAAATCGCACTTTACGTACTGAAATTGGTTCTATAAGATTTAGTCAGTGAGCATTCCACATAAACTTTTCACATGGATTGAAGGAATCCCTATTATAATTATACTCTAGCCACCCTTCCATATGTACCCTGAGACACACACACACACACACATACACACACACACACACACAAATAAATGTGTGTAAAAAGAATGGCTAAGGAAAGCAGAAGAAATTTATAAATATTAGAAATGGGGTTAGTAAAGAAAATACTGCGGTAAATCCAGGTGTCAATTCTCTGTGTGTGAGGTAGGCGGGTGTGTAAAAGTCAAGTAGCCAGCCTAAGCTGTTTATTTAAAATACAAAGACATTCTTGTTGAAAAGAAGACTTTGAAAACAGCCCAAAATTGGGGAACATACCTGAGTCTTGTTGTAGTTTTTATTTTATATGCTTTTAGTTTACTTTCTAAGTTTTTTATTCACTATTATTGCTTGCAAATTTATAAATACAATCTACTGGTTTCATGTGTATGTGTGTATACATATGTGTGTTTAGGGCTCACTGCTTGGGATTGACTCTCTCGGGCTCACCCCTGTGGCAGACTGATTCTCCCTCTCCCGGCAGTCATTATTTGTCCGGAGCTCTTCCTGTAGGGGTGGCCCTCTGAGATGGCTCCCATCCGTGTTGGTGTGTTGGCCTGTCACCCGTTAGTGTCATTTTGCGGGTCTTACTTAGACAACCGTACTATTGAAATTCCGTGGATGCAGCCTCCCTGTCATGTATAGCAGAGACTATCTTACAACAGGCTTCCTGGTCTTCTGGCCCCGTCACGGTGTTCTGAGCCTCCAGCATAGGGTGGGTTGTGGGTGTGTCATCTGGTGTTGGGTACTCCGTGGTCTCTGCATTTGGACCTGTTCTGTAATGGTCTCCGTGTAATGCAAAAAGAAGCTTCTTCAAGGAGGGTGAGAGTAAACTCTTTCTCTTTCTGTTGTGTATATTCATGTAATCATCGCAGGATTTGAGGTGGTTTCATGGTAAGATTAGTTTTCTACTAAAGTTGATCATCCAAACACCTTGCCACTTCTCTTCAGAATCTACACCACCCTGGGATTGTAAATCTGGAGTGTATGTTTGAAACCCCAGAACGAGTCTTCGTAGTGATGGAAAAACTTCATGGAGATATGTTGGAGATGATTCTGTCCAGTGAAAAAAGTCGACTTCCAGAACGAATTACTAAATTCATGGTCACACAGGTATTTTAACTCTACCTTAAAGCCAGTAAAAAACTAAGAGAATTAAATGGCACCATGTGTACATATTGGGAGATTAAGCATTAGTAGTCATAATAGAAGAGAACAATAATACTTTTAGCTACATCTTGATTAAATATAGTGGAGTTTTGAAATTATCATACAATTCAAGAAGTCATATTGGAGTTTAGCAGATTTTCTAGGCATTTTTTAAAAAGCCCTTTACCAGGGTAGACTCAGATTTAAATTTTATTGTTATGTGTTTTGCCTGTATGTATATATGTCTACCGTGTGTGTGTGTGTGTGTGTGTGTGTGTGTGTGTGTGTGTGTGTGTGTGTGTTGCCTTTGGAGGTCAGGAAGGCATCAGATCGTACGGATCTAGAGTTACAAACAGTTGGGAGCGGCCATGTGGGTGCTCTGCAGGAACAGCTTGTCTTGGCTGTCATGTAAAGCACTGGGTTCATCGCGGCCCTTTCACGCCTGCCTGCCGCTCTGCCCTGATTGCGCTCAGTCACTCCTCTCACGACCTCTGTCCTAACAGATACTCGTTGCCTTGAGGAATCTCCACTTTAAGAATATCGTGCACTGTGATTTAAAGCCCGAAAACGTGCTGCTTGCATCAGCGGAGCCATTTCCTCAGGTGAGACATTCTCCAGAACCTGATTAAGAACTATTTTGAGTTGGTGACATTTACAAACCACCCTCCTAATACAAAACAGAGCACCAGGTACATACCCTTGTAGTCTGTAACTGCCAGTTTGAATCGGTAGCCGCATCATTTAAAGTCAGGCTTTATTAGTGTATTGTTCTTGCCCGTTAAAACATTTTTTAGACATAAGTAGGTCTGAAGAAATAAAATTTGGGGCTTTTTTGGGGGGTGGGTTCTAATTATGTATAAATGGCCCACAATCACACACTTAAGATCTGTGCACTTCAAATATCTGAGTCAAAGAGTCACCAAATGCAGTTATGATGCAGAAAATCTTATTCATGAGACATGTGCCGTATGACATGTACTAGAAACGGCAAGCAGCATTTGAATGTGTCTCCCGCTGTGTCCTCCAGTGTCTGTGTGCACTGTGCTCTTGTAGACATGGGATCCCTTCTCTCTCAGTTGACGGTAATGCTTTTCCTAAGTCAGGTGTCAATCATGGCATTTCCTCTGGGAAGTGCTTGGCATTTCAGGATAGCTGCAGTCAGTAATAACCAGAATCTAACGTCGTCCAAAATGTGTCCTGAGCTCTGCCAAGCCCATCCTACTTCCAGGACACTTCCTGAGGAGAACATGGCGATGGTTGTGGGCACCTTCCCGCGTAACCTCATTCAACTCTGAACCAGCTGGAGTCTCTCGTTCCATCAGTGTAGAGAGCACTTACTCCTCAGAGCCTTCCTCCTGTCCACATTGTCATCTGTGAGCCTTGTTGTCCTTACCTGCCGATAGGTAGCATCCCTGGCAACAGAATCTTAGGACGGTGGTTCTCAGCCTTCCTGATGCTGTGATCCTTTACTACAGTTCCTCATGTAGTGGTGACCCCCAACCATAACATTATTTCTGTTGCTACTTCACAACCGTAATTTTGCTACTCTTACAAATTGTAATGTAAATATCTGTGTTTTCTGATAGTCTTAGGTGACCCCTGTGAAAGGATCCTTTGACCCCCCCAAAGGGGTCACAACCCACAGGTTGAGAACCAGTGTTCTAAGGTTCAATAAAATAATGCTTCAAAATACTGTAGCTTATTTTTCATGCAGCAAAACATTTATTGAGTACTTGTATATGCCCAGACACTGGGAGTCCACTGAGGATTCAAAACTGAAATAAAATTCCTACTTACAGAGAATAGAAAAGGGATTCCCTTACGAGGGATCAAAGATCAGCACCCTCCATCCATCTCATCAAAACAACCAAACTGAACCCTTGCTCTGTGAGTCTGGAAGATAGAGTACAAATTGTTTTTAAACTGTGCACTCCGATAGCTCTTCCTACTACTGGAGTATCAAAGAGCTGTAGTTGTATTTGTCCGTCTCTGGGGAAATGGTATTTCCGTTTCCCTGTCTGTAACTGCTTTGTGTAGAATTAGTACCTTGGTTAAGTGCATTGAGAGTATCTAGGGACAAGTATTGCTATGTCCATTTCCAGGTGAAGTTGTGTGACTTTGGGTTTGCACGCATCATTGGTGAGAAGTCATTCCGGCGGTCAGTGGTGGGGACGCCAGCCTACTTAGCCCCCGAGGTTCTCAGGAGCAAAGGCTACAACCGTTCTCTAGACATGTGGTCAGTGGGAGTCATCGTCTACGTGAGCCTCAGCGGCACATTTCCGTTCAATGAAGATGAAGATATAAATGACCAAATCCAAAATGCTGCGTTTATGTACCCACCAAATCCATGGCGAGAAATTTCCAGTGAAGGTAAAAAAAAAAAGAATTACGTTTCAGTTTCGCAAATAGCCTAAAATCTTTGTGATCACAAGTCACCCTGCCTCTTCATTTCCCTAATCTGTTACCAGTCTTTGAGAACTCTACTTGTATTTATTATTTTAATTATTATTATTTACTTTTTATTTTTGAGATAGGGGCTTACTTTGTAGCTCTGGCTGGCCTAGAACTTACCATGTAGACCAGGATGGCCTTGAACTGACAGAGCTCTGTGCACCACTATGCAAGGCCAAGTACTCTACTTTTAAGCTGTTTTCTTTGTCTCTGTTTTTCTCATAGTTTTTAGGCACAGCAGTCACCCCGGCCCCAGCAGCCTCATCCAGGAACGACTGTAGTATCTTTTACCTGTGCTGCTCAGTAGCCTGCCCCTGGCTCCTCGGGGACTGCGGCCCGAGCCATCTGCAGGATGGTTATTTCATCCTCTGGCTTCCCTTTAACGACACTGCCGCTATCGGTTTCTGATACGGCCCTTGGAGCTGCCTTTGCGCCTCGCCCCTACTTCTTACACAAAACTGATGTATACTCTCTTCTAAACTCTTCCGAGTCTCGCTTAGGTCTTTCCTCCTGCCAACAAGGGCTCCCCCTCACTACTGCAGTTCTTCAGAGACCTCCTGACTTGTGGGTCATCCTGCCCTCCCCTCCTCCAAGCTATGTAAGGTCCACTTAGGCTAACAGTTGGGCATTTTTTCTTTTTTTTTTTTTTT